TAGAAGAATGAACTGAGGAAAGCCAAGCTAAGTCCCTCACGATTTTTGGTGGTGCCCAAGTTTATATAAAAAGGATCTCTTTAGATGAATAGATTGACGGATTTCAAAACCAAGTAGCAGTTCAAGCACAAGGCTCTAGACTTCAGAATCCATTAAGTATCACATCTTTCGTTTGTCCCTCCAATTTTGCCAGAAAATTAAAACTTGCCAGACATTTAACAGTTATTTTGCTCATAGGGGCAATTATGAAGTTTGAAAAAAGATTTTTCCCAACTCAGTGGACATAAAGCAACTATGACATTTTCCATACTGATGGTCAAAACAGTATGAATTATAATCTTAATTAATATTATTTAATTAATCATTTATTTCAACCCCACATTTCATTCAAAGCTTGGACTCAAGGCAGCTCATATAGTAAAAGAAAATTTATGTAAAACATATATAGATAAGAACACATAGAATTTTTTTGAAAAATTTCTATAAAATTAAAAACAATTTAGAACATATTCATTAAACAGCATAGTACGTAATACAGCACACTAAGAGAAGCCCTTTCCTTGTGTATTGGAGCCCCTATGCTTGTTGGGATAAAAAGGTCTCCAATCAAGAAAATGTAGTATAGGAAGATAGTTCAAAAGCTGGGAAACAAACATCAATAATGACTTGTACAAAATCTGCTTCTAGTTTGTAGATATTACTTCAATACTGCCCTCTTAAAAATATTAGGTTTAAACGAGTCACAGAAAGCACTGTTATCTTGGTAAGAGCAGTGGTTCCCAACCCACTACTGAACCGCAAGACCTAAAATAAGGTCCACAGCCAGGCGTGTGTTCCTTATTGGAGGATAGCGAGAGAGAGAAGGAGAGTGAAAGAGAGAACAAGAGGGAGAGAAGAAAGGAAGGAAGCCAGCACCGTTGCCCTTGCTCTCTCGCGTCTTCTTCAGAGCCATTGGAGGAGAGCGAGAGAGAGAAGGAGAGTCTCCCAAAGTTGTTGTTGTTAGCTCCCATTGCCAAACACAAAATTGTAATGTGAAAGCAGCCCTTTGTAAGTCCCTGTTTAGTCCCCCAAAGTAATTATTATTATTATTATTAATAATAATAATAATAATAATAATAATAATAATATTAGTAGCTCCTATTGCAACACATCAGTTGTAAGGGGAAAGCAGCCCTTTGTAAGACCCTGTTTAGTCACCCCAAGTTGTTGTTGTTGTTGAACCCATTACTGACAGTTTCTTGGGTCTTGCAGTCCACTTTTTGTATCTTTTTCAACCTCAGCCGCCTCCCCTTCTTTTTTTAAAAAAAATAAGTGTTAACAAAATCCATGGATAATAACACAGTGCAACCCAAAAAAATGTTTTCTTGGTGTCTTCATTTTTTAGGCCTGTTCCTGAGGTTATTTGGGGTGCTGATTCAGAAAATTATATTGGATAGACCACATCAGCTCTCGATTATTAAATATGGTTTTCTGTGGGTGAGCAGATGGAAACTACTGGATGGCATATGTTCTGTATCAAAAACTAGACCTGATTTGGTCTATCCGATGCATTTTTTTTAATCAGCACCCCAAACAACCAAACCGAATCTAAAGTTGACCTAAATCTGATTCGTAACCCTTTTGATACTAATGTTGAATAATGGTCTCTAGTCAAAGTGGTCCGTGTGTTTTGCCCTACCCAGTTAGTTTACCAATGCAACATTACATAACCAGAAATTATAAGAAATAAAACAGTAAAATCTGTCATTAAAAAACAACATGAATATGTCATTTTAATTGTCCTCTTCAAAGTATGTGAGATCTCCTTTGTTTTTCATGTACTACGATCTATGCATAATGAATACCACTTAAACTATTGCAACTATGCATATTTCATCTTAATTAGCTTTTCGTGTAAATATTATGAAAGGGTGATAAAATGGTAATTTCCCCCACACTGTCACAGAATGCATTGAGCAATGTAACACATGAAACACTATGAAACCAGAACACAGAATCTTATTATGGATTAATTAAGGTAAACTAGAATCTTATCTTGTAGGTATATATAAGATTAAGTTTTGGAGCAAGACAGATGAAAAATGAAAATGAGACTGGGGAAGAAAAGATTGCAGAAAGGGGAAAGTGAAAACAGAAAAGTGGTGAATAAAATCTCAAAAAAGGAACCAGAAAGAAGTTCACAAATTTAGCTATCATAGCTAAAGCAAATGGTGTCATTCCAAGGAGTTTTGGGTTGTCTTCACTGTCATGTGGTGCTTATACAGCACAGCATGATGACAGAGATAATCTTGCATCTATTCCATTTTAAACTGATGAGGTGAGAAGATCAGCTCCATAGTGGGACTTGATTTTTGAGATGCTCTATGTGCTCCAAGCTGGAAAAAAAATCCAAGATAATTCCCCCAGCTTTACTTTGGGAGAAGGGCACTTCTCACACTCACGAGGAGAAGGGACACTCATTTTGTTAGGATGAGCGTAAATATAAGAAGCAGAGGAATGGATCATATAGTAAGAAGGAATACAGAATAGTTGCAGTCAGCTGGAAAAAAACAAAAGGACTAATTACAAAGGCAGAGAAAAGAAGTTCATCCTAAAAAAACCCTCGCAATTTAAAAAAAATCACACTCCAGAATCTGAGTGTAAATCTGAGTTCAAGAATGGAATAAGATTATATTCTTGAATATATATATAAAAAGTTGTTTTCATTTTGTATCATTATCTCTACAATTTCCCTCGGTAATTCCATGTGCTTTTCATGGGAGCAAGTTCACTCCCATTGTGTCACCAAAATACAAGTGGAACTGTCATGCTTTCTTTTAGGTAGCTATTCTGGCCATCTCAATCTTGCAGGAATTGCAAGTTATAATTTGTAACTTGCAATTCCTGCTCTCAACATAACTTCTCTTAGATGATTTGGCTAATGACATGCAGTACACTGAAGATGGCTCCTAATATGGAAGAGGACCAGGAGGCTTGGCAGCAGCTGGCGCTAAAGTCAGGACTCAAATTATTTATCACTGCCTGTTTTATTAAGTAAAACAAGTCTGGGCAAAGCAAAGATCAGCACAAATGCATATAGGCAATTTGGTACAGAGGAAATCCGGATTCATTCCCCATATTTTTCATCTGTTTTATTGTCATACTGTAAACACCATACCTCTCCATGCAAAATATCTAAGTTGGCACTTCCCAACTTAAGAATAGATTGTTCAAGTTTTATACTTATTAAGCATTCTTTCTTACAGTTACTAAGAATGCTTTGTCCTGTTTTTGAAGCATCTGGATTTCACTTCCAACTGGGGATTCAAGGCTCAGGGTTATATGCCTCCTAGTTCAGTGTCTTACAGCAGTTTGTAGTTAAGTTATCTCAATTTTTTTCTTAAAATACTACACCTTATTATGTGTTAATGGTATGTTGTGGCATCAATAGGTAACCACAGCCTTGTGAGGTAAGACTATTCTCGCACTTGTCTGTTTGCAAATACTACCCCATCCTAAGCATCTCTTACACTTGAAATGGCAATTCGATGAACTTCATCCATTCAAGCCACTGCGCTCATGCAGAATTTATGAGGATAAAAAAGACTGAGGTTAGCTAATCAGACTACAAGAAAACCAAACGCATTAAAAGATTAAATCCATCATGTGCACCCAACTTTACTACCATAGCACACTTTATTAGGAAGTTAAGTCTTAACAAGTGGCTTAATGCATGGATAAAGCTTTTGGTAGGGTAATCTGCAGGCATGTTGCCTAGTCTGAATGATGCCAACAAGATAAGTGACTGGCACAAAAAGAACCTTTTTGTGCCAGTCAGTTAAAATCAGTTAAATCAGTCAGTTAATCAGTTAAAATTCTTGAGTAAACTTTTCAAGGGGGTTATAACCCTTAACCGCCCCCCCCCCCCCCGGCTACGGTCCTGTCTGTCACTATTTTTCAACTCCATCACAGCCCTTGACGACAGTATGGCCTTAATCATCAACATAATATGTCTCTAGTAGTGGTTACAGTTTTGGACTATGGCCAGGAAGGCCTAGGTTCAAATCTTCACTCAACTGCAAAAACATCCTGAGTGACTTGTGCCAGGCACTGTTTCTCATCTATTTCATGGGTGTATATTCAAAATAAAACTACACAGTCTTATAAGATGGAACAAAAATATATTTAAAATAAATAATTAAGAAATTGTATGATGCCAACTTTTCAAGAATCTATATGATCCTCCTCATTTAGAAAATGAACAGGTCTCCAAAGCTGATGGGTTGGGTGGCTTCATTCTTTTACTTCTGGGATAGAGTCAGGTGAACTACCCAAGAGGGTTTTAGGCTTTTGTAGCATATTTAATAACACTTTTCAATGTGTGAAGGCACCTCTGGCTTCCCTGTGTTCCCTGCTGTGACTTGGATTCTTCTCCTCATACCTCCATTTCTCCTTCCCACTGTAGGTAAGCAAGGATGACACACATCAGATAAAGAACAGACAGAGTTTGCAGACATCCATGTGCATCTCAGATGATGGTGCACCAGGATCTCAAAATGCCTTGTCTGGTTCAGATTGCTCTCATTCCTTTCTCACCGAGCTGTACATGGGAGGGAACATAGTTTTCAGGGAAGCCGGGTCTATTTAGTGGTGGGACAACACTGAGGTGCACTGGAGAAACAAAAGAAACTAGTGGACAAGAAAATTATTTGCAGATAAAATAATATGAATTAATTGCAGAACACCTAGTGAATATCATCTTTCTAAACTCAGTCTTTCAGATCACTTTTGGAATCACTGGGAAGCACTCTCTTCTTCAGTCACAGCTTTTATAAAAGAAATAAGAAAAAAATAAAAATGCAGCTTAGGATGGAAAATGTACACCACTCTGATTGTATGCATAATGTCGACCACAAGAGAGTCTATCTATGTCATTCAACATATGCAAGTGCCAAATGTGAGGGAAACAATTTCAAAATAAGGACCACTGTACTCCTCTACTTTACATTTGTTGTGCATACCGTAAGAGATCCATTCTGTGTGGTTGCTGTACTTGTGTTCTGTTCTCCATGCGCCTGTGTACTTCCATAGATTGTCAGATTGTGCTCGCTGGTCTGGCCTGCATAGTCCTGAGAGTGGGGTACCCCATACTCTGTGGGGATCCCATTCTGTGGGGGAGGCGGGAATGGGATTGTGGTGAATGGCTGGACCATTGTGTCAGGAGTGGCTGTTGGCTCCTGATTACCCTGGAAAGAGAAGAAAGAAAAGACTTAAAACACATATCAATAAAAAAAGGAAAGTGTATAAAACAAACTTTCTCTAGCCCAGATAAAGTTATCTCATCCAGTGTTTAGCATCCCTCAGAAGACACAATCTTGTCTCCTGGAAACCATTCATACACATTTCTTTAGCATGTTTAATGTGCAGAATAAGGGTTCAGATCAAGGTTTCAAGATCAAAGGGACCTACAGTTCTAATTATTTAACTGCAGAGAAGCAGTCTATTAAGATGAGATATTAGGGCTCTTCTAGAAGGCATCAGAGTACTACCTTTTTAAAGGCAGCAATAAGCTGTGAAAACGCAGAGTATCACAAGGTCTATAAACAAATGTGCACTTAACCCAAGAAGCCATGTTCAGTTGATGTGTTCTCTGTTCAATACCCCTTTTATTGTTAAGATTAATAATAATAGTTTTATAAAGTCTGGTTCCAAATTAGTTCAGGAATTCACTCATTCACTAGAGATATTCCAGATAATGTCCATGGAGTACCCTTAACACCTGGATCACTTATTAATTTGGATGCCACAATGCCAAGTAGCAACTTGCTTTCTTACCTCTTCTTATTTATCAAGAAGAGCTGGTATGATGGCTGCTAGTCCCCAATCCTAAAGCAGTTACAAGCAAACCGAATAGCATAGCTTCTGATACAGATTGCCGCCTATTGTCAATACCGATATTATCTAGTTAGGTGTGTGTTTAATTTTACATTTTATGTTGATATTTTTTATTTATTAAAAATATTGTGAGCTACTTCCAAAAATCTCTGCAGCATAGGAAATCACCTTAGGCCATTTAGCTTTCAATGACTGGCAGGAGCCCTCCAGAATTTCAGAATGTGAACTTTCCAAGCCTACTTAGAGGTGCCAATGATTCGTTAGTCTACCACTGAGTTGCAGCCCTTGGGATTGATAGATGCTATAGGTTTTAGAATTTAAAAATTAGTAATGCTAAGATCAATTTCAGAAATAAAGGATTAGAAGTCATGAAATGAACACTATACACAGAATTATGGGGAACAAATTGAGAACATGGTGTAGGTTCTTCCTCCCAATCATAAGTATCATTAATTCAAACAAGACAGTACTTATATGCACCCTGAAATCTGTGGTCTCCCACAGGGATTGCCAAGTCACTACAGTGGGCTTTTAGAATCACTTTCACACAAACATTATTTAGGATGGATCAGGTGCTTGACAACTACTAAAGCAATAAGGCAAAAGATACGCAAAGACCTTCAGGGATGTCCTAGAAATTCAATAAAGCCCTTGTGGCCATTCTAAGCACTAGTTCTCCACTGCTCAGAATCACTGTGTGTACAAACAAACATTTTCTTGTATATAAACATTTTTATCCCCAAATTAAGAGTATCCACAACATGTTCTTGTAAACTTGTGGTTATGCTTCTCAGAACTCTTATCCTTAAAACCTGCCAGTATAAATCAATACACAGTAAAAATCTTGCAAACCTCACTTCAGTAACACAAGTGCTCCTCAGGAAGGGAGTAAGTGATACTGCAGAAAACTTTGTGAAGAGCAAGAATGACTACTACTGAAATATACGCAGTGTTAAAGAAAAATAAATCACTTGCCATTCTTGCTGCACAGAGCACCTACAAAATAATACAGGCTCATATACATGAAATTTGAATTCAAGTTCAGACTATGAAGCTGGCTAAGATCCTTGTGAATTACTCCTGAGCCTCACAGAGACTCGAAATATTCCCTTGAAAATTAGATCTAGTGACTTTAGCCAAAGAATTAAAGACTGCAGTCAAGAAGCTCATTTACCAAAGAGATTTGAACAGCCATCTACTTAGCTAAGTGAAGTAAGAACAAAGGTCTTTCAAGTAAATAAAATAATTTCTTGCCCTTTAAGGCAGGCCTGATGTCTACCCTTCCTTGCTAATCATCACAAAGCATCCTGCCATTCCTGTCTCTACTTATCCTTCAATAAGTAAAAGAATACTGCTCATATACTGGAGAATACGAGGAAAAACAAGTCACATTTCAGTTTTCCTTTCACTTATGATCAACTCTAAAAATACAAGATATCTTTGTGAATGTGGACTGGATGTCTAACAAAGAATATTTTATGTAAAGAATAAAGGTCTGTACACAGGTGGTAACACAAAGAAATGTGGTGTCAACTATCCTGTGCAAATGTTGAGATTAACTAATACACAAAGTACTTGGCTATAACCAAATACATGGAATAACCTGATGCATGACCATAAAAATAATGGGACACTGGTATTCTAGGATGGCATCACCAGAAAACGCTAGCAAAAGATCTCAAGTCTCAATTTATTTATTTATTTATTTGCTATATTTGTATACCGCCGTTTCTCAGCCTAGCCGGCGACTCAACGCGGTTTACAACAGAATATAACAATCAACAGTATACGGTTTAAAAGCATAAAAAACATAATACACAATTCATACATCAATACCAATCCAGTTCAAATCCTAACTAAAAACGTGATCCAGTTCGTCGTCCATTGCCAGTCCTTTAGTCAATTACCATTCATTGCACTGAGTTAACCAAATGCCTGCTTGAACATCCAGGTCTTCAATCTTCTTCGGAATACCATCAATGAGGGGGCTGATCTTACCTCCAAGGGCAGGGCGTTCCATAGCCGCGGGGCCACCACAGAAAAGGCCCTGTCTCTCGTACCCGCCAGCCGCACCTGTGAAGCAGGCGGGATAGAAAGCAGGGCCTCCCCAGAAGATCTAAGGGTCCTGGCGGGCTGATAGGCCGAGATACGTTCGGATAGGTAAGTTGGGCCAGAACCGTTTAGGGCTTTAAAGGCCAACGCCAGCACTTTGAATTGAGCCCGGTAGCAGATCGGCAGCCAGTGGAGCTGGTGCAGCAGAGGAGTTGTATGCTCCCTGCGCTCCGCTCCTGTTAGTATCATGGCTGCCTAGCGTTGGACTAATTGGAGCTTCCGGGCCGTCTTCAAAGGCAACCCCACGTAGAGAGCGTTGCAGTAGTCTAAACGGGATGTAACCAGAGCGTGGACTACCGTGGCCAAGTCAGACTTCCCAAGGTACGGGCGCAGTTGGCGCACAAGTTTTAACTGTGCGAATGCTCCCCTGGTCACCGCCGAAACCTGGGGTTCCAGGCTCAGCGATGAGTCCAGGATCACACCCAAACTGCGAACCTGCGTCTTCAGGGGGAGTGCGACCCCATCCAACACAGGCTGTAACCCTATACCCTGTTCGGCCTTACGACTAACCAGGAGTACCTCTGTCTTGTCTGGATTCAATTTCAATTTGTTCGCCCTCATCCAGACCGTCACAGCGGCCAAGCACCGGTTCAGGACCTCGACAGCCTCCTTAGTAGCAGGTGGAAAGGAGTGACAGAGTTGGACATCATCTGCGTACAGATCACATCGCACTCCGAAACTCCGGATGATCTCACCCAGCGGCTTCATGTAGATGTTAAACAACATGGGAGACAGTATTGAACCCTGAGGAACCCCACAAGACAAAGGTTGTGGGGTTGAACAGGAGTCTCCCAATAACACCTTCTGAGACCGACCCTCGAGGAATGAGCGGAGCCACTGTAGAACAGTTCCTCCAAGACCCATTCCCACGAGGCGTCCCAGAAGGATACCGTGGTCGACGGTATCGAAGGCCGCTGAGAGGTCCAGCAGCACCAACAGGGACACACTCCCCCTGTCGAGCTCCCGGCGCAGATCATCCACTAAGGCGACCAAGGCTGTCTCGGTACCATGCCCCGGCCTAAAGCCAGACTGTGCCGGATCCAGATAATCCGTGTCTACCAAGAATGCCTGGAGTTGTGAGGCCACCACACGTTCCAGGACTTTGCCCAAAAAGGGGAGATTGGACGGCCCTCAATGGCCCTCCTCATGAAGTTATTGGTTTTAATGTTGTTATATTGTATTTTATATGTTGTATAAAATACAATATAACAACGCATGCTTGTAAGCCACCCTGAGTTCCTATGGGTTATGGTGGCGGGGTATAAATAAAAGATTATTATATGTTTATTATTATTATTATTATTATTATTATTATTATTATTATTATTATTAGAGCTTTTTGGCATGCTAGTTTTTAAGACTGCAAGTTTGGAGGACCATTAAAGCATGACCTAGACTTCCCAGAAAGACCATGTCATTCATTTCTAAACATATAACTTAGGCCTTAGCTTTCTAGTTGATCAAAACAGTTTCAATTATCCTCCATTTGGCAGCTCATGGCGCTTTAAGGAGGTTGTGCCATGCTTGCAAAATGGCTTCATACATATTCTTCCAACAAAAAAAAATTCTTCGAGATGGGTAAAAATATGCAATTTGTACCACACAGAAGGCAATGAGATTGCTCCCTATAGTGCAAGAAAAATGAATCAAAAACTGACATACCAGCACTTTTATTCTGCACTTCCAATGCCATATTCATTTGCAGTGCCCTTCAGATGCTATAGAACAAATAATTATGTACACATGTACACAAACCCTGCTTTTTGATTTCTACATCATTCCCAATGGAAATGTAAAGCAAATGTGTACTCACAGATTTGAAACAGTGCAGTATACTGCAACACTGAGAAAACTAAAAGCATGGGGAAATTATATTCTAGCTAAAGCGGAGGATCACCATTGAGTTTCTCTAAGCAGGATCAATGTAGAAAGTAGTCTTGTAACAGGAAACACAGAGAATCTGACATAGACATGGAAGAAATTAAGGAACCCTTTCCTAACCTTCCTCAAGAGGCCTGCAACTATTGTTTAGGGTAACATGAAATAAGGTTTGATTCAGAGCACTTCTAGCTCATGCCAGGCCATTCAGATGCTGGCTGAATCCCAAATTTGTTCTGACACTAGTATATCTGGACAGTGTCCCCTGGGAGTCATGTGATCATGCATGCCTGTAGCAGGGCGAAGGAAGGGCATTCAATGATGGCCGTGCATAGATGTTCAGAGAGAGGCAGACAATGAT